TTTGAGGTCACCCTCAAAGCTGATATGAGTACTGCTCCCCACCACAGGTTCAGACCCCTCCATGGCTCCCTGTCCCTCCTTCCTGTATAAAGGTTGCCCCCCAGAGAGAGAACTCCAGGATTACAGAGCAGCTGTTGAGAATGAGAACAGCCCCTCTCTTCCATTCAAAAGTACCTCCTGTCCTGAAAAGTTTCCTACAGAAATAATCCTCAGGGAAAAGTCTATGTGTGTAAAGGTATCCCCTGTATCATGGTCCTGAGCAATGCGTAGCTGGCCTAATGTACATGTCCAAGGATAGGGGATTGGAAAAATATGTGATAGTGTGTCCACTGAATTTGTTTTTTAGTTTTAGTTTTTTTTTTTTTTTGGCAAACCGGGGATTGAACTCAGACCCTTGCACTTGGCAGGGAAGTGCTTATTCTACTGAGCCATCTCCCTGGCCCCCTGTCCACTGAATTTGAAAGCTGGAGAACAGTGCAGCCAGGAGCCACAGTGCTGCTGAAGATGAGGACCCACCCCCACTCGCACAGTGTCCACACCGAGAAGCAGGAGGGTTGCCCACTACTGAACACCACTAACTTACACGTAGTTAAGATGGTAAATCTTATGTGGTTGAACAGTTTGTCATGTGTGTTACCCTAACCCCTTACCCCCCATCAAATTTCTGAAGGGGAATATGGATTTTTGGTAATCTAGGTACAATCTACAACCAGTCATGGTCATATAGATCTTGCTGGAGACTGTTCTGCCCAAACTTTGGGGCCTATTTTATGCTGTACAGTTTCACCCTAAAGGATTCACTCAATTCCCAGGCTGCATGGGATAGCATTCGGCCTCACCCTGGTTTCCATTGTGACCAGTCAGGTTAACCACAGTGATCCCAATTCCTACTTTGTATCATTTCTGGGTTTCCATTTGTTTTGTTTTGAGATGATTTCCCCATCTTTTTAAGACAGGGTTTTGCTATGCAGTTCAGGCAGGCCTTGAACTCACTTTGTAGCCCAGGCTGTCCTTGAACTCTCAGCAATCCTTCTGCCTCAGCCTCCTGAGTGCTAGGAATACAGGCATGTGCCACCATGCCTGGTTGTTTCAAGTCAATCTTGCTGTGTTTCCCAGGGTGGCCTCAAACACACGAACCCCCCTTTCTCAGCCTCTCAAACAGCCAAAGTTACAGGTGTGTGTTATCATGAGGCGCCTCTTGGTGTCTTCTTAAAGCAAACATAAAGCAAAGTACAAGACCAGAGAAAGACTTATGATAACGCATAAGATTCATATTCGGCAGAATTATGTGACACAATGGATTTAGAAATGTTTTCAATTCCCTTTTACTGTATCTCCCAGAATAATTTCTTGTCAGCTAATGGATGCTTTCACTTTTGACTAATACATCTCAGTACAAATAATCAGGGACAAATTCTTCCGGTACCTGAGAGATAAGTGATTCCACTGACCCATTTTACATTGTGTATATTTTACCACAATTTAAAATAAAAATTTAAATAGAAAAGTAGGAAAGCATACAAAGTTATACACATGATTTTCTTGTACCTGTGTAGGATATTCTTATGGAAGCACAGCAAAGAATATTTTTAGACTCATCAGCCTGAAACAATGAATAATAAGGGTGGGTATTTTTTCCCCTCTGTTTTTCTCCATTTTCCCATTGTCCTTCTTAGGTTCTTGTATTATTTGGATGGTTTCTTTAGAAGATGTCTATTTAACTTTAAGAGCCTAGGACATGAAAAGTGTCTTAAAAATGTCAGCCTTGGGACCAGAGGACAGGTCCTGGAGCAGGGACAGGCAGCTAGCTCCCGGACAGGCCAAAGTGGCTGCTCTTAGCACTTTTCTCTGTTGTTTCCTAAATGGGGAACCACAGAGTCTCGAGACCAGGAAGGGGAAGGGGAACCACAGAAGAGGGACACCCTAGGCAGGACGCAGAGGGAAGGGGTGGGCCTGGCCCAGCCTTGGCTGGCTGTGTCCCTGGCCAGTCACCTCTACCTAGTAACAGGGCCCTCACCTGCTCCATGGGCAAGGAGCTTCCAGGTAAAGCTGCATCTCAAAGACAGAGAGAAGACCACAGTCAGAGGAGCACTCAGGCCTGCTGTCCCCTGGCCCCTGGGGGCCACCCTGAGAGGCCCTTGCTTTCCTTTTCAATATGCCCAGAGATGTGGCTCTCCAAAGCATCCGGTTTACAACCATATCTTCTCTCTTAACAGCTACACCCAGGGATTCCCCTGTGAAGGCCAGATGGGTGGTGCAGGGACGTGGGACACTGCTTTTCTCAGCATACACCTGGACAGCCCAATTACCTGGGACCCAAGCACATTACTGTGACTTGCTTAGGGACAATATTGTCTCATGTATCTGAGTGGATGTGGGGTGGAGCTCAGGACTCAGTGAATCTTCTAGACAAAAATTTTACTCAAAACACATCTACAGAATCTAACAAACCTGAAATGGAAGATAAGATGGGGTCAGGAAGACAAACAAACTGCCCATACATTTATTCTACAAACATTCACCTGGCACACACCACTCTCCCTATTTATTGTGATCCAGTTTGATGAGGCTGAGGTAGGGCGGCATCTGGCCTTCCCTGGCTTTCCTGCCCTTCCACTCGGTGCAGGCACAGGTTGTAGGAGAGCTAAGGTCTTAGAAGGGAGGCTGAGATCTCAGCTCCATTGTGTCTGGTAGCTCTGGAGCTCTGAGACTCAGCCACAAACTTCCTGCAGAGCAGCAATGCTCTTTGTCTTGCATGCCTAACAGAAGTCATATTATTCTTTCCTTGGGCTGCAGCTTGGCCTGAGCATGCCTTGCCTTCCTCCTACAGGGGCTGTAGCTGTGTCCTGCCGCAGCCGACAGCAGGCTGCAGAAGCCGTAGCGTGGCCACGTGGATAGCTCTGCAGGAAACCCAACAAGAGATGGGGTAAACCTTCCCATGCTGAACCTTCTGACCACTTCTGAGCTACTGTATCTGCTTTTTATAACTACTTTATTTCCATCTTAGCTACCTGTGGTCTACAAGACCACTTCTGTTTGGATCCACCTATATATCTGTCACCAACTGTGTCGTGGTGGCAGGTGGATGTTGGATGACTGCTACATGTGTTGGACCCTGATCAAGTTGTGGGTAACACAATAGTTCACTGCCCTAACTCAAAGCCATGTGCAAAGGCTGTGGGTGTTGGTGACCTGAGGCTCAGGGTTTCCTTCCACTAGATAGGGACGTCATTTTCAGCTGGGTTCTGTAGGTTGTACAGCTTCTGGGTTGGAAAACGGGAAGAGGCCCCTCAGGGCAGTTTCTGCTGCTAGATAGATTCATCTGTGATCTGAGCTTGAGAATTCTGTTCTCCCCACCTCCCCTGATCTCCTTGCCCCACTGAGAGGTCAAAGGACAGAATTCCCCTCCACTTCCCCAATGTGGATCCCACGGCCCAAAACCCAGTGTATGCCAGGTCCACAAGGGATAAAGAAATTCCCTAGCTGACACCGGCATGGAGTTAGCTTGCTAGGCTTAATTCCAGCTCCACGACCTTGCCTAAGTCCCTTATATTCTCTGTGCTTCACTTTCCTCATCTAATGTTCAGGATAACAACAGTGTCTACTTCACTGGTTACTATGGGAATTAAATGAGTGACTATGTACATAGCCCTGAGCATGGCATTTGCCACATCTTTAGAGCTCCATAAATATATATTAGTGTCCTGTACTGGGCCAGCTGGGCCCCACAGTAGGACACTAGGACTATGCCTCTGGAGCAAGTGATTTCCACAGTGACCTGCTCTGTCCCTTTCTAGGAAAGCTGTCCCCTCACTCAGGCCCAGCAGCTCTAGGGATGAGGAGACACCTGGGGACCATGAAGCAGCCACAGCTGAGTGTGACAAGTGCAGGCGTGGACAGGATGCCACTCAGGAAGCTGCCACACCCGACCCTACCACCATCCCTGCCCCCCAAGCTCTGCCTCAGGGAAGGTTCTGGACTAGAGCACCCTGGTGCCTGCCTGGGTGGAGCCAGCTCTGCCGCTGTCAGCTCTTGTGGGCTGGGCCTCTCTGTCCTCCAGTGAATGATGGGGAAATTGAGGCCCATCAGTTCTGCCCTCAGAGCAGCAGTACAAGGGAAGCAGGCTACTTATGCCAAGCTGGCTCTGAAGGGAAAGAAACCTGGTTCTTCTGCCCAGTCCTCCTAGCTGCTCTTGGGACAAGGCACTGGAGCAGGCAGGGCTAAGGCAGCTGAGCAGAGGTCAGGACAGTCTTCTTTGGGGATCAAAGAGGGGACAAGCAGCACAACCACATTCCTTCTCCAACCGTAGAGGTCTCCACTTGTCCCCAGAAGCCAAAGGAAGGCCAAGCACAAGCAGAAAGCGGTGTGGGTAGACTATGACTCCACTTGCAGGCTATGTGGACTGATAAGCCCAGCTAGGTGCCCTATTTCATGGGCAAAAGGCCTTAATTACAACTGGACTGAATTTAAGAAAGCAAGCAAGGCACTGCCCACTCCTTGGAGGACCCCCAAGGTCTGCAGTGGGCAAGGAATTGGGCAAGGGAAGAGAGCTACCATTCAGGGTGCAGCAAGGTGCTGGGGCATTCATACTTCAAGCACCTGAAACTGGGTGTTTATTTGTCCTTATCTCCATTATACAGACAGAGAAGCTGAGGCACAGAGGCATTGAATGACTCACCCAGCCCGTCAGTCACAAGGTCAAGATCTGAACCCATGTGTCTGTCCCAGACCTCTGACCTGCTCTCCACTCCCTGCCAACATGGCCTTCTCAAGCCCCACCAGTGTTGGGCTCTCCTGGAAGCTCCTGCTGTGGAGCACAGAGTACATACAGCACCCAAGTACCCCAGCCAGTGATCCCTTTGCTTTTTACTCACAAGGAACAGTGGCCCAGGCTACCTCTAAGACAGGACCAAAATTCAGCCTCTGTGAGACCACACTCCCATCCCTGCCTTGGGACACTTGAGACACTTCAGCCCAGATGGCCTGGCGGCCTCACTCACCCAGAAAGAATCTCGGAACTGCAGCTGAGGCATCATCCTTGTGTCTGCTGAGCAAAGCTTGCACTCCCGCCTGGGCAGGGCCGACTGTGGCCAGGCTCCAGGAGCACCGTCCAGGCCCCCTCCTGTCCAAGCCGGCGCCGTCTGCAGTGCTTAGAAGGCAGCCACAGGCCAGAGACAACTGCCACAGGGGGAGAAAGGGCTCAACCTGTTTTGTTTAGGACTAGAACCAGCAGCAAATGAGGAAGGAGCTGTGGCCAGGGATGGGAGGGCGAGCAGAGGCGGCCCCTTCAGCCTTTGCAATGAACACATAGGCCAGGCCCCAGGGCAGAGAGCAGGATGCCAGCCCTGGGGGAGGCAGGGCCGGCTGAGTGAGGAAGGCTGTGCACCAGCCAGGCAGGCAAGCAGGCAGCCTGCGGCCTGTGAGGAAGGCTTGTGCAACCTCCCAGGCCAGCACCAGGGCCCGCACCCACAGGAAGTGGAGCTGTAGGGCTCCCCTGTGCAGCCCCGCCTGCCACCTGCCACGTCGCTGCCTGCCCCTGCCTGCCCCTGCTCCTGCCTCAGCCTGGTTTATAATCAGAGCTGTAAATGCTGGATGCTCACAGTCCACTTATACTGTGAACACCAGGAACTCAGGACCCCAGGGGCTGTCACTCATCTGCCCAGCCCTACTCCAGGCCAGGCCCAGAAAGGCAGGATCCTCATGGCTCCCCTAAACCTGCAGCATCTATTTCCTCCAGCCCTGCTGCCTGGTGTCCTAGCTCCTATTCCTGAGAAGCTGATGCCCTGAGGCAGAAACAGCTGTTCTCTGGGGCTGTGAAGTACAAGGGGTAGGGGTAAGGGGTAGGGGTGGGGTCAGTGGCCAAGATAGCCAGGTCCCCTGACACCACTCTGTCCCTCTGCAAGATCCTTTGGGCAGGGCTGCCAGAACACGATGGAGTCTTTAAGGTCAATAATTGGATTCATGGGGCCAGGGAGATGGCTCAGCAGAATAAGTGCTTCTCTGGCAAGCACAAGGGCCTGAGTTCAATCCCCGGTTCCACAAAAAATATAAAAATAAAAACAATAACTGGATTCAGGCTGTAGTGGCACACACTCGTAGTCCCAGCACTTGAGAAGCTGAGGCCAGAGGATCACCATGAGGTCAAGACCAGTGTAGGCTACAACAGTAAACTCAAGGCCAGCCTGAACTACATGGCAAGACTCCATCTCAGAAATAAAAAAATGAAGACTGGATTCAGCCTTGAGAGACAGTACCACAAAGGCACAGACAGGAGCTAGGAAGCCCAGGCTGAGACCCAGTTTTGATGTAGTGGCTCCAGCTCGCTGAGCCTCAGCCTCTCCAACTGACACCTCCAGTTTCTGGAACAGACAATGTTAAAAACACTTGGAGAAGCTCTGGTTTGGTAGGGCAGAACCAGGACGTACACCCTCATGCTGCAAAGTGGAGGGTCTCAAGACTAGGGCTGCTGGTGAAACGGGGAGCAGGGGGGCTGGAGAGATGGCTCAGTAGAATAAGTGCTTGCCTGGCAAGCACAAGGGCCTGAGTTCAATCCCTGGTTTCACCAAAAAAAAAAAAAAAAAAAAAAAGAAAAAGAAGAAGAAAGAAAGAAAGAAAAGGGGAGTCGGGCTATCCAAGAATCACTGCTTTCCCTGGTGCCTGGCTTACAGTCACCTGGCCTGAAAAGACACAACTGCTGCAGAAATAGCTAAGCTCCCACATGCCAATTACCTTCCCTGGGGCTTAGAGAAGGGGCACACCCAGGCCCTGGAAACACCATCCAGAGGGAACATGTCATAGAGCAGCAGGACCACCCTGGAGCCCCACACCCCCAGGATCCTTGGGCCTGGAGTAATAACACCCTTAGCATCACAGCACCCTGAACAGCTTTCTGCTACTTCCAGCAGCAGATGCTACTGCAGAGTCACCTCGGGCACCAGTGGCCACGTACTGAGCTGCACCTCTCCTCCCCAGTGTGCCACTTGAGCTCAGCTTCTCCATGTGTCAGATGCACTGAGCCCATTAGTTCTGCGGAGGACTCCACCACCTCCTTTCACTGGCAGAGCTTCCGGCTGGGCTCCCTTCCGCCTCTCCAGGTGTTCTTCCCATTACCTCCCACAAGCATCAGCCAGAGTTCGCCTTTCCTCTCCCAGGAGGCCTCAGCCCACTTTGACTTCCACATCTCAGACCTGACCTGATCTCCACTGCGCCAACACTCCCACCCCTCCAGAATAGCCTTGAGGGGCCCACACATGGGTCTTCCTTTCCCAAGCATACAGGTCCAGCAGGAGTTCTTAGCCAGAAAGGAGTCGTCCCCCCCGCCCCCTCCCCCTCCGCCGCCCAGCTCTCCACTTTTGCAGCTTCCAGCCTGTCACCTAGAGCCATCACTCTGGTTTGCACATCACTGGCTTCCTCTCAGGGACCATCTCGCTCAGTTGGCCTCTGTCCGTGCTCCTCCTCTATAGACGAGCAGCTAGGGATGGTACCAGGTCTGTCTGCCCCAGAGCTCTAGCTCTAAACCACCATAGTTGTCCTCTTGCAGAAGCCTCTGTTAAAGGGGGTCTCATCCTTTCCCTGCTTCCACCATGAGAAATGCTCACCCCAGTTGACAGGTGGCCATGTAGCCCAGGGAGATGTCAGAGCTGACTGTGCCATTGGAATGAGAGTGGGGCCATGGCACTTACTCTTTATCCACTGTGTCATTTGCATCCATTGGAGATGCTTTTGGCAGCAAGGATGTCAACAAGAGGACTGGAAGGGGGAAGCAGATTACCACCCACACAAGGGTCTGGAGGTAGTAATCCTACAAGGGAGGTGCCTCAGGGACGGGGGACCCTTTCTCTAAGTCTCCTCCATCAGTGTTCTTCCTCCAGCTGGGAACCAGGAGCTGCAGCAGCTTAAGTCCTTGACTCCAGAAGTGGCTACATCCAGGCAGAAAGCAGAGGTCTGCCTGCATGTCCTATGTCCTCTATGTCTTGCACCTACCCTGGCCTCTAGGACACCTCTCCGGGCCCTCACAGCCCAGCAGCAGCCACATGCTGCCACTTCCCCCTCATTGCCATGGCTTTGGGAGCCCTAGATGGAGTTGCTGTGGATGCTGGCAGCAACATGGCCTTCTCTTCAGCCCAGGTCCTCCAACACTGCTGATCACTACTCCCATGCTAGGGCTGACAGGAGAGGTACACATGGTTTCTGCCTCCAGGGGACCACAACAGAAAGATGTGCTAATGAATGAGGCTGGGAGGGGTAAGATGAGAGGGTGTTGTGATCATCCTAAGAGGAGGATGAAGGCGATGAAGCCAGGCACCTAGAGGGTGGAGGTGGACAGAGCAGGACCAGACATCCAAGATCCCCCAGGAAAGGGAAACATGCAGTCCAAGGCCTCCCCCATAAGCCACCCTGGCTGCAAGAAAGTCATTGCCTTTTAGCTACTGTTCCTGCTGCTTGTCTTCTTGAGGTCTGGCAGCTATGCAGGGCCAGGCTGTCAGGGAAAACCCCACCCAGGCAGAGCCCCAGCTGTTTTGCATAGCCTTTGAGTGCTTCTGCTGGCAGAATTCAAGAAGCTGTAGGTCCTAGGATCCAGAGTAAATGGTAGCATCAACTGTGATTATGGAGTTGATTGCCACAGCTGGCTGTCCGATAGGCTCAGCCCTAAAGCCACTTCATCCAGCCTTTGGGCCACAGAAGCAAGAAAGCAGGGACACTAGCCGCCGCAGGGAGCATTGCCACCTAGGGTGATCTGTGTTACTCAGTGTCAAACTCCCTCCAGCATGACCATATTCATGAACAAGTCCCAGCTGCCAGGCTGGCATGCTTTCTCAAATTAACTGACAGGGATGTTAAGGCAAGTGCCCCATTTCCCATGGACCTATCTCGGACACACTGTGGCTGTATAGTCCCAAGGCATGTTGGGAACACTGTTCTAGGATGCATGAGGTACCTGGGCCAGAAGTAGGACTTGTTGCATGTGCCAGTGGGTTGACAGCCTGGGCCAGGGACAGCACCGCTAGATGGGAACATCACTTCAAAATCAAGAAGAACCAAAAGCATGAGCCTGGAGGTTTCCAGAGATAGCAGGAGCTGGAGAAGAGGAGCTGGAAGTTCCCAGTGGCAGCCAGACAGCCTATGCTATGGGGTTTGTGGCACTGCTGCTGGTCTCAGGGGCATTTGTTTTGGCCTGTCTTTTGCTAACAAGCTGCCTGGGTAATGCCAGCCTCTCTCTGAGAGCCCTCTGTGTGCTAGTGGGTTGTGGCCAGGGCATCCCAAACTGTGTTTATGATGTTGCCTAAGGCTATCAGGTGGCCCTGGGCCCCTGGTTGAGTGTAGTAGTACCACTATTTGTGGGGTAAATGCTACAGGGTTCCTACAATGACCAGAGTACATGTCCACTGTGCTGCCCCAGGATGAAAAAAGTAAGCCCCTCCACAGTCTGCCCAGCCTTCCACAGTGGAATGGCCAGGGACAAGAGACAGAGGCCATGCTGTGGAGGGGGCAGGCCAAGAAGTTCCTGCACAGAGGAGCTGGGTGGTTCAGTGGGACAGTGGGTGCTTGGTAAGCATGAGGTCATTAGTTCAATTCTCGGTACAAAAAAAAAAAAAAAAAATCTTACAGAGTGACAGTAATAGCCTGTGGGTTCTCAGAATGTCTACCCTGAGCCAAGAACTTCCCTTTGTCTCACTCCATCTTCCCAAAAGCCATGGCATTGTGGCCCCACAGGACAGACAAGGAAATGGAGGCTCAGAGAAGTCAGTCATGCTGTGGCATCCCTGCTAAAGATGGTCTCTCTTCCCCAGAATTTGGAGTAGAGAGGAGGGCCAGGCCTGGAGCAGAGTCTGAGGGAGGGGAGAAGGAGAGGAAGTCACCCTCAGAGGAGGAAGTGGAGAGGGTGGGCCCTAGGCAAGCCCTCAGATGGAGGCCTGCTACCCTGACACCAGGAAACTTCCATACCTGGAGTCCTCAGCGCAGCAAAGGGTGAAGATGCACTATAGCTCTGGCCTATCAGTTTACTCCAGGACAGCAGTTACAGAAGTGAGATTTCTTCTACTCACCAGCTCTTCAGAGCTGCCCAGGGCTTTCTCACTGACTCATTCATGCCTGAGTGACTCAGTTTCCAAACACCATGAAGCTTCAAAAACTGGTGCTGGTCAGGAACACAAACAAGAGTAGTCTCAGGTGGCCATGTGGCAGCTGGAGGGGCATGTGGGAGCCAGGGGTGGGTATGGGGGCACCTGAGTCCCAAACCTGAATGCTCTGTGCCAGAGGGTAAAGGCAAACCCCATGTAGGTCTTTATAAAAACAAACCCAAAAAGTACAGGAGACAAGGTCACACCCTAGACCTGCGGCTGGGTGGGGCCAGAACGTCTGTACCATTTTAGGTCTGAGACACAGCTTCAGTTAGAACTTCTGCTCCACCTGATTACCTCATT